TGTATGTGTGTGTGCGTGCACTGTCTGCAGTGTCAGTAGCTGTCAACATTAATAAGACTTTCATGTATTGTGCTTATATAGTGTGCACGTGCACAAGCATCTTAGTTCATCCTTGAAAATCTAATCCGCACTTTTACTGTGTGTGTGTGTGTGTGTGTGTGTGTGTGTGTGTAATACCCTCTTATCCTGAAGTGCTGATGTGAGACTAACTCATTTTAGAGTCTCACATGCAGCTCATCATGTTCAATGAAGACACACTAAAGATTAAACACAGAGCCGTCACTAGATGTTGCTCCAGAGCAGTTTATGACCTATACTGCAGAAAGCCACCAGGGGGCGATTGAGACACTTTGGCTTCCCTTTTGGGAGCCGTCACGTCGTCCATCTTTATTCACAGTCTATGGGCCAATTAATTAGGGGTCTGAGCTCATCAGTGAGTGAATGATCTCTGTCATTCATTAACGTCTCAGTGTCAGATGATCGTCGCCATGACGACACCTTTGTTTCCCTCATGTCAGTCGAGGGTTAACGAGGCCATCTGCCCCCCGAGGATTAACAGATTACAGTCTCACTCATCAGCAGGTCCGAGGTCAGATGTTTGTAATCCTGGTTCTGATCCACGGAGGAGACTGTAGGTAGGTTAACTGACTCCAGGTCAGTGTGTGGGTGGAGCAAGAAGCTCTGTTCAGCAGTTCCACCTGAACCAGGGCAGTCGGTTGCCGACTGTGTGAACGGGACCAGTTGAGGAGTGAGGATGTGAGCCGGGGGGGCGGCAGCATGCTCGGCTGGGTGGGAACTCTGATCAACAAGAGCTGGCTGGACAGAGAGCGCTGCGTCCATCCCTGCGAGAGGAAACCTCGCTTTGGACGAGGACGGGTAAGAAGGAAGCTCCGTAGAGAGGGAACGTTCGTTTAGAGGCTGTCGTCTGATTGATCAGGTGTCCCTGTCTTACCTGTCTTACCTGTCTTTGGGACTGGAGCAGCTGGACTGAGTGGGGGTGTAGTTGGGGGCTGTGAAGGTGATTTTGTATTTGATCAGACCTCTGATCAGATTCAGAGATTAAGCTTCTTCAAAACAAACGTGTCAAACATTGTCATCCTTATATTTTTAGATTCAGTGTGACATCATTTCCTCCTGATGTCATCATCCATGATGATGTCATCCACAACAAACCACTGATCCACAGAGAAATCAGAACCTCATGTAGAATCTTGTTTTTAAGTTTCCTTCAGTATCACAGTGATCCAGTGATGGTTTTCTGTACGTCACTGAGTTCACTGCAAACAGGAGCTGATCAAAGTCAATTCAGCTGCTTTTATTTTAATACAACAGGGGCTTATAAGTCAATTGAGCTGCTTTTATTTTGAAAGAAAAAGAGCTGATCACAGCCATATTCACTGCTTTTATCTTGAAAGAACAGGAGCTGATCACAGTCAATTCAGTTGCTTTTATTTTGAAAGAAGCTGATCACAGCCAATTTAACTGCTTTTATTTTGAAAAAACAGGAATTAATCACAGCCAATTTAACTACTTTTATTTTGAAGAAACCAGGAGCCTATTACAGCCAATTTAACTGCTTTTATTTTTAATTAACAGGAGCTCATCACAGTCAGTTCAGCTGCTTTTATTTTGACAGTTTGACTGAACATGTGTGTGTTTTTATGTGCGTTTTGCAGCCGGTCCAGCGGTCCAGTGCTCTGCTCAGTCCGTCGGTCATGTTCGGAACAAGAAAGACCTGGGACCTCGGCCACGCCCCCTGCCTGCAGGAGCTCTGGAAGAAAGACATCTCATTGGACGGTGAGTCTGACGTCTGCTGCAGAGGAGGAGGAAAAAAAACACCAGCATGGCTGCATTTTTGTCACGACAGAGGAGTGTGTATGTGTGTGTGTGTGTGACTGTGTGTGTGTTGGGGGGGTGGGGGGTGAGTCATACCTGTTTGTAATGAATGGAGCTGGTCAGGCCGACAGAGCAGGTGGAGCAGAGTGTGTGTGACAGTGCAGACTGTCAGAGGTGAGCTCAAACGCCACATTTCATTTATTCATGTGTTCATGTGCTGCCTGTGTTTCTCTCAGCCGATCGTTTTACGTCCTGGGAGAGGACGGGTCAGGTTAACACTGCAGCTATTGTCAGAGTGTGTGTGTGTGTTTTCTCTTTTCTTTCCTGAGTTGATTTAGTTTGTTGTGTCATTTCTCCACCGTCGTTTAATTGATAATATTGATTGAAATCGTTTGTAAGAAAACATGTAAAACGCATCTTTGTGTCTTTGGTTTTGGACGCTCGGTTAAAAAAAAAGAAGGTGTTTGAGGACATCGCCCGGAAACTAAAACGTACAAGCAACAACACAACAGGACACATGTCATTTATCATGTAACCAGTCAGCAGAAACCCTGTGTGTGAGTCACCCAGAAAAAGTAAACACGCAGCATTTTCTGTGTTTGTGTCTAATCCTGTTTTCTAATCTGTCAGAGACCCGGTTTATAACAGAGGAGGTTTCTCCTCAGTCCTCGTGTGTTTGAGTTAAGTCTGTCTAATGCTCAAGATTTTTCCCACAGAGTGCAGATTGTTCTCAGGTTGATAAGATTTAAGTTCTCGTACACACGGAAAACTTGTGACCACACACATACACACATAGTGTGTGAGCAGGTTAATGTGTCAGCGGACGTTATCAGCTGTTATCAGGTCTGACTGGTTTCCGTGGTCTTCCAGAGAAACTAAGGGTCGACATCAGTTTTTTTTTTCTTTGTGTACGACCTCAATAATCTGATCACCATTAATCAGATTATAGATTAACTTCACATTGATCAGACTCTGTTTCCACATGGACGAGGTTTCACAGACGAAAAATACAAATGTGTAATTAGAGTGTGAGTCAGTCACTCCTCATCCGAGGGCTCAAAGTTTGATGTGACAGTTGTGATGAGAAGAAGAAAATCCTCCTGCTTCGTGTGAATAAATCTTCGCTCTGTTTGACCCTCCTGTGTGTCCGTAGCGAGCTCACTGGACTTCCTGATGAGTGATGGTGAAGACGACAGCTCCTTCCTATCTCTGCCCAACGCCGCCTTCTCACAGCGCCCCTCTCTGACCGCAGAGCTGACCGAAACAAGCGCACCCAGCCAGCAGCTGCTCATCCAGGTAACACAGAGGGCGGGTATGTCCAGTAGGGGGCGTATCTGTCAGTGGGTTGGGGTCAGTACTGATTCACAGCTTGTGTCAAAGACGACGTTCCACTGATGCGTTTTTTTCTTGACCTCATCACATCTGGAACATCTGTGTTTGTTGTTGAGCATCGATCTCTTTGTATGAACTCTGTGAATTCTCAGTGTTGAGTTAAAACCTCAGTGATCAGGAGTCAAACCAACTCCACGAAGCAGCTCCGTCCTCGTCTCTTTCCACCTGTTCACTCCTGATTTCTGCTTCCTCTCATCGTGCTGTGTTGTTTTGTCTCCACGCTACAGAAGGTCACCTGGTCCTGCTGGTGGACTCCTGCCCACGTAAAAATATTCACTCTCCTTTATAAAATGTTTTCAGACATGAACTCAAGAAAATGTCTAGAAAATTAGTGTTTCCTGTGTGAAACAGCAGCAGCAGCAGATCGTCCGACTCGTTCACAACAACAGGAACATGTGGGGGGACATTCAGGCGAGGGGTGGAGCCTGTAAAGCAGCAGGAGGCGGGACATGACGTCTAAAGATCAGTGTTGTTGTTTACAGCTCATCCACACTGGCGTCAGCCCTCATCACAAAAACATCTGGAATCTCCTCGTCTTTCAAAGTTGACGTCTTCGTCTTCTTCGTGTACGGCTCCTCTTCTTCATCCTGAGAGATTTGTTTTCTTCCAGCTTCACGTCCGTCACGTGTTAGAAACCTCATCAATATGTCCACTCGCTCGCTGTGAAGCTTCAGGACATTTTACCAGACATTTGTTCTCACATACAGAACCTCCAGAACACGTCAGGAACACGTCCAGACTTTAGTTCATGTCTGAAAACAGCTTTAGTCTCAGCTGCTGTTCCTTGGAGTTATGACTCTTCCTCCTTTTTTTTCCTCTATGTTTCCTTGTGATCTTTAGTCTCCGTCCTTCTCCTCAGTCTCACTGAGCTCTAAGTTAGAAGCTTCCTGCTCTTAGAAACAGCTCCTCAGCCTCACGTGACTGATTAATGACATCGCTCGTTCATACCACTTTGTGTGTGTGTTTGTTTTCAGACTCTACAGGACAAAGTGTGTGAGTTTCAGTCTCGTCTTCGCTCTGAAGAAGTCACTCGTCACTTGCTTGTCCAGCAGCTGCAGCAGCAGAGCGTCCACGAGAAGTCGTGTGGAGGAGGTGGGAGTGACGGAGGTGTCCAGACGCCGCAGGAGGAGCGTCTGTCAGGGCCGCCAAACGGTGAGAGCAGAGCCGAGATGATGTCACAGCTGCCGGAGGGGATTGTTTGTACAATCAACTTGATCGTCATGACTTGAAAGTCACTCATTCATATAGTCAAGTGTTTTTTAAACACAGATGCTGTTCATGTCTCCGTGCCAGCGACACCCAGTGGCTAGAGGCTTTATGTTTTCGGGTTGTTCGTCCCTCCCATTGTTGTGACCACAATATCTCCATGACGCAGAGAGAATTTCTTCAAATTTGGTGCAAATGTTCAGTTTGACTCATGGATGAACTGATATGATCATCAAAGGTCACTGTGGCCTCACAAGACATGTTTTGGCTTCTTGGAGGAGGAGGAGGATATTCTCCTTCAAATCTTGACCAGTTGTCACTTGGTGTGTGTGTGTGTGTGTGTGTGTGTAGGTGGACAACCTTCAGATTATTTCAGCTGTCCAGAAGAAGAGCAGCTCGTTAGACGGCTGCAAACACAGGTACGTCTACAGGAAATGCATCATCACACCTGAACACCTGCTGACAAACAGGAAACGCATCATCATATTTTGTATCTGTATTTCTTCACATTCAGTCAATGGACAGTGATCAGCTCCTGTTTGCAGTGAACAGTGATAGACAGGCGGCCATTTAATTCTCTCACTGTATATTTGTTTAAATCTTTTGAGGAGTCGACGTGCAGCTGAACTTTCTCGGACAGTTTTCACTCACCGGCATCAGACGTTAAAACCTGTTTGACACAGTCTGGTTTTATTAGCGTCACTTCAGTGAGCTGCTGCTGCTCTTCAGGTTTCAATTGGTTTGTCTGATGAGCAGCTTCAGTGTTTTACTTCTAACAGACTGATCTGATTTCATTATTATATTAAACAAAGTGGAGATTTAGTTCAAATTTTTTTGGTCTGAGTGAAACCAGGGAGCAGACACAGCGAGAACCTGCATAACTAAACAAAAACAGTGTTTTGGATTCTGGTATGAGAAAACTGTATATTGTGTGAAGAGGAGGATTTTTTTAATTCTGATGTGGTTTGTTTGCAGGTGGAGGAGCTGGAGAAGAAGCTGTTGGATCAGACTCAGGAGGTGGAGAGACTTCGCTCTGAACTGGTGAGACCCTGCCAGACTACATTCCTGAGGAACCCTGGGAAAAAGAACACACAGTCTCACACACACACACACACACATACTTGTCTGTCTATATTGCCCTTAACCGCAACCTTAACCTAAAGTGCGAACAGAGAACCAGTCAAATCGTCCCCACAGTGCAGAAATGTCTTCACTGTGATTTGGTCCTCACAAAGACAGCAACACATAGTCTCAGGTGCAGTGCTCAGGTGTGTGAAAGCAGGTCACACACACTCCGACGCAGGAAAGAAACAAAACAAAAGTTAAACAAGACGACATCAGAAAACAGACAAAAACGTGTTAAACTCTGTTTGAACAATGATGTAAATGTAAAGTGGGTAAGATTGTAATTTTACGGAGGAATATATTTTTTGTGCCTGTGTCCTCTCGTCCTGTAGGGGGCGACAGACCTGGAGAAGCAGCTGGAGCTGCTGGAGGTGGAGAACGAGCGTCTGAAGCAGGAGCTGAAGTCATGGAGGAGCTCAGAGCTTCAGAAACTCGGAGCTGCAGCAGAGACGTGCAGCTGCAGCCACTGCCCCCACAGCCAGGTGTGTATACACACAGCTACACACAGGAATACACACAACACACAGTGTGTACGCGTACTTGGGTCTCTTGAAAGGCACATTATAAGTTATTATTATTATTGACTGTGTCGTGCAGGACGCAGACTCCCTGCGGAGGGAGGTGTCTCGCTGGGAGAACCAGGCCCGGCAGAGGGAGCGTCGTCTGGCTGAGCTGGAGCGAGAGCTGCTGGAGAAGAGCTCCAGGGTGGAGGCTCTCCACCGACAGCTGGATGATTCCACCCGGCAGCTGGAGGAGTCGAGGCAGCGGCAGGAAGAGGCTGAGCAGAAACTCGCTCTGCGACTGCACGAGTGCGAGCAGGAGATGGCCAGACAGGCTGCAGCGCCCTCTAGAGTCAAGGTGAGGAAATGCTGGACGTGGGGACGGGCAGATCAAATGTTTCTCTCTGGTGGAGACCAAACACAGATCTAATGATTTAACAGTCGATCACTGAATGTGTTGAAATCGAATCGGATGTTTTGTCCGTGTTCTTCAGTACGTGACTCAGAAGGTGGAGGTGGAGTCGGCCGACTCGCAGAAAGCTCTGGCTGAGATGCAGACGAAGAACGCCGCCCTGCAGGAGCAGCTTTGTCTCCAGAGGCAACTGCTGAGGGAGCTGGAGACGCAGCTGCACGAGTCGCAGAGGACCTGCGCTCAGCTCCGGACACAGGTAACATCAGCTGTTTCCAGTTTCCTGTCCAAAACCACAAAACCGGGATCACGCATGGATTCTGCATGAAGCCACTCACATCCTGTGAGTTTTGATAAACAGCCAAGACAAATAGCCTAGATTAGTATGAAGCAAGGGAAACTGTTAGCCTAGCTTAGCATAATGACTGAAAGAATGGGGGGGACTGTTAGCCTAGCTTAGCATAACGCTTTGGTCACAATGAACCAATGAGATGGAGGATTGCAGATAAACGGATCCCCGCCCCCTGCCTCTCCCCCCTCCCCTCTACAGTTAACCTTCTCCTCTCTGCATGCGTCCTGCAGCTGCTCGCCGATCGAGGCCGTCTCTGCGGCCTCCTCTCCAAAACCATCGGCACAGGAAACAGTGAGGCGGTTCGCAGGTTGTCTAAGGTTGGCCCCGCCCCCTCTCTGTGACAATACTTAGGTTCAGAGGTCACAGCGAGAACCCCCCCCCTTCTAACCGAGAGCTCATGTGACAAACCTGCAAAACAAACCACAGTTTTATTTCTTACATGATCAGATTCATTATTATAACTCAACACTTTCTTATACAACTTTTGAATTTAATTATTTATCTTTATCACATTTACACCTGTCTTGTTTTTTACGTTACGTTTTCAGACCAGATATCATATCTTGATATATTTACATAAATTTGTAATAAAGAACCTCAGTCGAGGTTCCTGTGTCAGATCATGTGGTTTAAAGAACCGGTTCAGTTCTGCAGAACGACATCACGTCTCCATTTCAAGCACTGACTGTAAATACAGATGGACGACGTGACGTCTCTCTAAAGTAAAGCATCCTGCTCGCCCCCTGGTGGCTGGCTGCAGTATAGGTCATAAATCCTGCGTCCTCCATGTTAGCAGACTGGACATAACAAAACAATAAAACGTAGACGTATTAAAGAAATGTTTCACTGATGTATATTCATTGTTCATGTTTCTGATGACTTTGGTTTTATTAAAATACAAACAAAACGGGCATAGACGTTGTGATTGACAGCTGAGACTGACTCCTGATTGGTCGTGCATGTGTATGGGTGGGACCTTGAGCTCTCAGCTGTGACATGAACCCGTCCCAGTACACCCCCCACCCCCCCACCTACCTGTGTTCACACCTCAGCTCAGATTTAGACTGGTTCGTCCTGTAGTGTGAGTTTAGCAGAACATAAACGTAGTTTAGTGTTTGTGTTGTCATGTAAGTTATTGTTTTTATTTACTGTTCCGCTTCAGGACGTCTACAATTTAAGTTTGATATTAAAACAACATATTGTTTGAACTTATGAAAACTCTTTAATGTTAATTATTACTATATCAAATGTTTTACTTTATTACTTGTATCTTGATCGTCTCCGCTCGTTCCTGTATAAACATGTGAACTCTGTCCGGACGGAGCTGAGCGTCGCCATCGTCCTGCTGCTGACGCTCGTCTTTAATCATCACGTCCGTCAGTCAAGTCACAGCGTCTGCTTTCGTTCATCAGATCCTGGTGTACGAGGGAGAGATGGAGCGAGCGCAGGGTCAGCTGGAGGTGGAGATGCAGAACCTGGAGGAGGAGAAGAACCGAGTGATCGAGGAGGCGTTCATCAGAGCTGAGAGCGAGATGAAGGCCGTGCACGAGAACCTGGCAGGTCAGGCTGCTTCCTGTTTGTTGCCTCTCTCACTGTGTGTGTGTGTGTGTGTGTGTGTGTTGGACTGACGTGTGTGTTTGTGTTGTTGTGCGTCAGGAGTGCGTATGAACCTGCTCAGTCTGCAGCCGGCTCTCAGGACTCTCACCTGCGACTACAACTGTCTGAAGCGGCAGGTGCAGGAGTTTCCCTTCATGCTGGATAAAGCCATCACGGAGGCGAAGCAGGAGGTGAGTGAAGAGGAGAACCTGGTAACCATGGTTACCGTCACTTAGGCAGGCTGCTCAGGTTTAACTTTCTCAGAATGTTGTTGACGTGTGTGTGTGTGTTGTGTGTGTCAGATCTGTCAGGTGATCAGTGAGGTGAGCAGCACAAACCAGGACCTGCTGCGTAAATACAAGAGGGAGATGAACCTGAGGAAGAAATGTCACAACGAGCTGGTTCGACTCAAAGGTCAGAAAATAAATATTTAATAAAATTAGTTGTCATGGTGATGGTGAGTGAAATGGGTGAAACGTAAATTAAATCAGTGAAGAAGAGGTTTGAAGGTTTTTGTTTCAGTTGATGCTCAGAAAGATGCAGAAATGTAAAATGGTGAAATGAAAAATTAAAAAAACATTTTTTGACTTAATGTCTTAATTGTCAACCTGGAATCTTCTCCACCGTTTCCCAGGTAACATCCGCGTTTTCTGCCGCGTCCGACCGGTCAGTCAGGAGGAGCAGGACGCCGCCGACGCCAAAACCATGCTGAGCTTCGACTCGGATGACGACGCCGTCCTCTACCTCTCCAGCAAGGGCAAGATCATGACCTTTGAACTGGACAAGGTTTTCCCTCCTCGGGCCACGCAGGCGGAGGTGAGTGACATCAGAGGTCTGAGCTGAGGAGGGAAGTCCCACACGACGGGTTTTTAATCCAACCTGAGGTCAGAGGTGAAGAAATGAATCTGTTCAACACCGACAGGTTCACTTTATACCTGAGAACAGACTTGGCTGCTCTATTGTAACTGAGAGATTTAGGAACATGCCACAGGTTTAAAATGGTTTAGTGTAACCAGGATCTGTCGCTGGTGTAGATTCGTCTCACCCGTGTCTTCTGATTGGTCCATCAGGTGTTTCAGGAAGTGCAGTCTCTGGTCACTTCCTGTATCGACGGCTTTAACGTCTGCATCTTCGCCTACGGACAGACCGGCTCTGGGAAAACCTACACCATGGAGGTAGGAGGATTTAATTCGTTTTGTTTTGACCACCCGATAAATGTTTATGTCGTCTCTGGAATAAAAACGGGCCGTCTGTTTCAGGGCGTGGTGGACGACCCCGGCATCAACCAGCGGGCGCTGCGTCTGCTCTTCTCCGAGGTGACGGAGAAAGCTCCAGACTGGGACTACAAGATCAGCGTCAGCATGGTGGAGATCTACAACGAGTCGCTGCGGTGAGAAGACAGCTGATCTCCAGTCGAAGTTTAGATCTGAAGACCTGATGTGAAATATTTCACAGAAGTCTCTCGACAACTGTGATAAATTGAGATTCATGTTCCCCTGAGGATGAACCGTAATAACTCGTCATTAATCCAGATTAAGACTCGACAACAATTTTTGCACGGCTATGATTCTCTCGAAAGTAACATTTTATTTAAAAATTCTAAGGGAAGCAATAATTTTTTCATTCAGTAGAAAATGTTTATAAAGAAACTCCAGACTCTGTGAAAATAAATCATTCTTATTCTAAGCATGTTAGCACAGCTGAGTCTGAGAGGTCCTCACATGGCCACGTTAAGAAAGTTAACCTCTTTACATTTACGTAACATTTCCCTCAGGACGGAACGGTTTTACAGTGTGTAGTGAACATTGCAGCCACGTGGGGGTGCTGTTTCTGTTCCCAGCGATGACGAGTCACTCTTACATCACAGGAAATATTATTTGTTTCATAAAGATTTGTTGAATAAGTTAAATCCAAATGAAAACAACATTGTCAGTCCGTCCCTCAACACTGTCCCCTCTCTGCCTCGGGCCCCTAACCCCCTAAGCTCATTGGTTCCTACTGAATACCTGTCTCATATTCAGTTTAAATAAGCCTCAGTCATTTCCTTGGATTTACTTCCTTTTCACTGGCTGTGTGTGTTTGTGTGTGTTTGTGTGCGTGGACTCACATCCATCACAGTTGCTGTTGGTTTCATGAGAAAACCAGCTGACTGGTCCTTGAACGTTGGACTGATGCAGATGTTGCGTCACTGCGTTTGTGCCGGACGATGAATTTGAGACCTGGACATGTTCAGGACAGATTTCCTGCGGTTACGTAAAAGGAGGATCATATTAAACGTTGTGGGTTTATCCTCGTCTGTCCAGCTGTTGTGTAACAGAACATCTGGGTAAAGCCCGCGGGAGCTCAACATCTGGACGCTGGATAAAAGTTTTTGGCAGAAACAGAAGTTGAGATTAT